CATATGCCCTAATGAACTTTCCTCACTTACTGGAGTAAATTGTGTTTGGTTCATTCCAAATTGGTCCAACTTCCTTGATATTGCGGCAACTTGAGATGCAAGAATTGTAATCACATTTGAATCATGAACACTAGCTACTTTTTTTTATTTACCCTTGTAGAGGGCCATTGAAATTCATTTGTAGCCATTTCTTCAATTAATGCATTTGCTTCATCAAATGATTTTGACATTAATGATCCACCAGCGGCAGCATCAATTATAAACCTAAGGGATTCTACTAAGCCATTATAAAAAGTTTGAATGATTGACCAATCAGGCAGAGCATGATGTGGACACTTTCTTAGGAGTTCCTTAAATCTTTCTCAGGCTTTGTATATTGATTCCCTTTCATACTGACAAAATGAGATAATATCTTTTCTAAGTTTAGTAGTCCTTGAATGTGGAAAATACTTAGTTAGAAATTTCTGAGTTAACTCCTCCCAATTTTTAATAGAGCTAGGTGCTAATGAGTATAACCACATTTTAGCCTTATCCCTTAGTCAGAAAGGAAAAAGCCTTAGTCTAACGACATCGTCTGACATACCGTTATAACGAAATATATCACAAAGTTCTACAAAATTTGATAAGGGTAAGTAGGGATCCTCCAAAGGAGTTCCCCCAAACTGATTGTTCTGCACCAGTTGGATAATCTCAGAATTTATTTCAAACGAGTCGACAGGGTTTTGTATACTTGACTGAATTTCATCTGTCGTAGGATTTACGTAATCACTCAATGAAGTATGACGATTTTCCATGTTATTATTTAGAAAGTTTTTCATTTTTATTTCTAGTTTTTTGAGTCCTCTTTTTATTTTTATTTTTTTCTTTTTTTCAAACTCGGGATCATAAGACACAAGTCCTGCAGATCCTTTGTTTTGCATACGCAACACAACAAACAATACATTAATAATTAAACAAATAATAGATGAAATTTATTAAACACAACAAAACATTTTCACGAACACCTTATTTTTCATAAAAATAATTTTTTTTTCTCAACACTTTTTCATATAAAAACACTTTTCACACAAAATAGTTTTTACGATACTACAGTTTTCTAAGTCTAAGCCTAATTACTTCAACTAAAAATTCTCGTAAAGTTCTTACCGAAGCTTCCCCGACAACGACGCCAAAAACTTGACAG